ACCTAGTTAGCGGACGTTGGCGTGCATGAGAGCAGTAAACTCACGATACGAGGCTCGCCATTGTCGACCTTACGCGCCGTTCGAGGCGTTTTGCTTCGAAGCTTTCCAGGCGTCTTGAATATCTCGGCGACATTGCTGTTGAGATCGTTAGCAATCGGTATAGAGCTGTTGACCAGGGGTCACCGTACATTTCGTTCTCGTTGAAGACCCCGGCCATATGCTCATTAAGCCAGTCAAACTCGTTTCTCGCGGCAAAGGAGAACTCCTCGGCCTCGGCCTGAACAATGCTAAGGGCTGTAGTTCGTTCTTCGTTGACCCATGACGCGGAGCCAATAGGCACACGCGTTCCTCGCATCGTCGCCATTGTGAGGGGTAGATCGCGACGCGCGCAAGAGTGTCGCTATGAAGGAGAAGAGAAATGCTAGCTGGTCATCGAGTTCGGAATGTGGTATGTGGGTGAGGTAAAGTAGTTGCTGGAGAAGAAGGGGGGAAGAAAGCAAAAAGTGGAAAGCACACAAAAGCTGTATGGATGTGTAGAGGTGTTGATGGACCTGGATTTGAATTGCATTGTGAACTGAATGTTTTGGTCGAGTCCGAATCCGGCTTAGCGCGGCTGAAGCTCGTGGGGCTGCCTGAGCCGGGGCAATCACAGACTGTGACAGTCGCGCTTGCGGCTTGCTGGAGACTCGCGGTGTGCAGGTGCCCTCCACTACCTTACCTCAGGTGAGGTGGTGTGTGTGCTGTCGCCGATAAGGGCCTTATCGGGCGGGAGTGCGGGAGGGTCCAAACCTTGGCCCTTGGGAAGGGGGGGTGAAGTGGAAACGCGACCGATCGAAAGTAAACAAAAAGACCTTGACACCGACAACACTCCTCAGCAACACCATCGCCAACCACTAACTACTGCAGCATGAGGGTCATAGAGGTTATTATAGACGTATGCGATCACATTTCTGTATTTTATCTGTCCATACTAACTATCCCCAGGGCTTCAAGTCGTATGCCGTGCGAACGGTGATTTCGGGATGGTAAACAAACCCCTTGCCTTGACTGCGAGGGGACGAAAACTCACACAACACAGGGACGAAAGTTTCAACTCGATCACCGGTCTCAACGGTTCCGGAAAGTCCAACATTTTGGACGCCATCTGCTTCGTTTTGGGCATCACAAACATGACAACAGTCCGAGCGCAAAACCTACAGGTGTGTAGCCATCCATCGTGGTGGATTCTGCTTGTGGCCGGTGAAGCTGACGCTATTCACAACAGGATCTTATTTACAAGCGCGGCCAAGCCGGTGTGACGAAAGCGAGTGTTACGATTGTTTTCGACAACAGAGACAAGAAGAAGTCACCCATCGGCTTCGAAGAGTATTCGACAATTAGTGTGACTCGACAAATCGTCCTCGGCGGCACATCCAAGTACCTCATCAATGGACACCGAGCCCAACAACAGACTGTACAAAACCTGTTTCAGTCTGTTCAATTAAACATCAACAATCCCAACTTCCTCATTATGCAGGGCCGAATCACCAAGGTTCTCAACATGAAGCCGGTCGAAATTCTGGCCATGATTGAGGAAGCCGCGGGAACCAGAATGTTTGAGGACAGGAGAGATAAGGCGCTGAAGACCATGGCGAAAAAGGAGATGAAGCTGCAAGAAATCACAGAGCTACTACGAGACGAGATCGAGCCAAAGCTTGAGAAGCTCAGGACAGAGAAGCGCGCATTCCTCGACTTCCAACAAACCCAAAACGATCTCGAGCGCCTCACACGAGTGGTCGTCGCGCACGACTACGTAAGGTGCCAGGAAAAACTTGAGCAGTCCGCAGCAGACCTGGAGGGCAAGAAACAAAGACAAAAGGATCTCGAGGAATCCGCGGCACGGCTAAAGAGCGAAATTTCTCACCTTGAAGAGGATGTCAAACGAGTCCGGGCTCAGCGCGACAAGGAGTTGAAGAAGGGAGGAAAGGCGCAAGGCTTGGAGGATGCCGTCAAGAAGCATTCAAACGAGCTAGTCAGACTTGCCACGGTCATGGATCTTAAGAAGTCCAGCATGGCGGAAGAGGAAGAGAAGAAGACGGCCGTCGAGAAGAACGTAGCGGAGCTGGAAGCGACACTGCAAGAAAAGACTCAGGCATTCGAGGAAATTAAAGCCAGATTTGACGCAGCCAAGGACGACCTGGAGAAGCAAAGCCAAGAAGCCGAATCCAAGGAGGAACTCTTGCAAACTCTACAGACTGGTGTTGCATCCAAGGATGGTCAAGAAAGCGGCTACCAGGGCCAGCTCCAAGACGCAAGGAACCGCGCCACAGCAGCGGTCACCGAACAGGAGCAAGCAAAGATGAAAATTGCTCATCTTGAAAAACGAATCAAGGAGGAGGAGCCACGAGCCAAGAAGGCAAAGGAGCAGAATGCCGACCTTCTCCGAGATCTCGAAGGCCTGAGGTCACAGGCGCAGAAACTCGAGAAAGAGCTCGGACGACTAGGCTTTGAGCCCGGTCAGGAAGAGCAGTTATACCAGAAGCAGTCATCCCTGCAGCAGCAGATCCGAGGTCTTCGTCAGGAGGCCGACGGCCTGAAGCGCAAGGTTGCCAACATTGACTTCAACTATGCCGACCCGACACCCAACTTTGATAGATCAAAGGTCAAGGGATTGGTTGCCCAACTGTTTACGCTTGACAAGCAGAACACACAAGCCGGCACTGCGCTCGAGATCTGCGCTGGTGGTCGTCTATACAACGTTGTGGTCGACTCCGAAGTCACTGGCACTCAACTACTCCAAGGCGGAAAGCTCCGCAAGCGTGTCACCATCATCCCGTTGAACAAAATTGCTGCCTTCAAAGCTTCGGCTCAAGCCATCGGGGCTGCCCAAAAGATTGCGCCAGGCAAGGTCGATCTGGCCTTGTCACTTGTCGGCTACGATAATGAGGTCTCCGCCGCTATGGAGTATGTATTTGGCAACACTCTCATCTGCGCAGATGCAGAGACGGCCAAGAGGGTCACCTTTGACCCCAACGTTAGGATGAGGTCCATCACCCTCGAGGGTGATTCCTATGACCCTTCAGGTACACTTTCTGGCGGTAGCTCTCCCAACTCCAGCGGCGTACTGGTCACGCTGCAGAAGCTCAACGAGATCACACGCCAACTCAAGGAGGCCGAGTCTTCATTGCACCAGCTTCAGCTCACCATCGCGAGTGAGAAGTCGAAACTTGATCACGCCCGCAAGATCAAGCAGGAGCTTGACCTCAAGAGCCACGAGATCAAGCTTGGTGAAGAGCAGATTAGCAGCAATTCTTCTTCTTCGATCATCCAGGAGGTGCAGAACATGAAGGAAACCATTGCCCAGCTCAAGGCCGATACTGCAGAGGCCAAGAAGAGGCACACCGAAGCCACTGCTGACGTCAAGCGGATTGAGAAGGACATGAAGGACTTCGATAACAACAAGGACGCGAAGCTTGTTGAGCTCCAGAAGTCACTGGACAAGTTGAGAGCCGACCTTACGAAGAACACTGCTTCAGTCAAGGTTCTGCAGAAGGAAGTGCAGGGCGCACAGCTAGACTCGGAACAAGTCTCGGGCGATCTGTCCGCAGCCCGCGAACAGCAGCAAGAGGTTGAGGTAGCCATCAAGGCCCAGCAGCAGGACATTGAGGATCTTGTCAAGCAGCAAAGCACTCTGCAAGAGACTCTTGACGGTGTTCAGGCTGAGCTCGACGATGAGCGGGCTAAGCTTCATGGCTTCGATGACGAACTTCACGCCCTTGAAGATGCTACGCGATCCAAGAACGCCCGCATCGCCGAGGAGAGTCTCGAGAAGCAGAAGCTTGGTCATCAGGTCGAGAGGTTCCACAAGGAGCAGCAATCGGCCGTGCAAACAGTCGCGCACATGGAGAAGGAGCACGACTGGATCGCCGACGAGAAGGAGAATTTTGGCCGCACGGGAACGCCATATGACTTCAAGGGCCAGAACATTGGCGAGTGCAAATCGACGTTACGTAACCTTACGGACCGCTTCCAGGGCATGAAGAAAAAGATCAACCCCAAGGTCATGAACATGATTGAAAGTGTCGAGAAGAAGGAGGTCTCGCTCAAGCACATGATGAAGACTGTCATTCGCGACAAGCGCAAGATTGAGGAGACGATCATCAGCTTGGACGACTACAAGAAGAAGGCCCTGCAGGAGACCTGGGAGAAGGTCAACGGCGACTTTGGTCAGATCTTCAACGAGCTCCTGCCCGGCAGTTTCGCCAAGCTGGACCCCCCTGAAGGCAAGACCATTAGCGACGGTCTCGAAGTCAAGGTATCTCTTGGCAAGGTGTGGAAGCAGAGCTTGACTGAGCTGTCTGGTGGACAGAGGTAAGGATGCTCTCACCCCTTGGCTACTATGGAATCGGACTAACACGTGCAATCTAGATCACTCATCGCCCTTTCACTCATCATGGCCCTGCTGCAGTTCAAGCCTGCGCCCATGTACATTCTCGATGAGGTGGACGCCGCCCTGGATCTGTCCCATACGCAAAACATTGGTCGACTGATCAAGACGCGCTTCAAAGGCTCGCAGTTCATCGTCGTCTCCCTGAAGGACGGCATGTTCCAGAACGCGAACCGCATCTTCCGGACTCGCTTCAGTGAAGGAACCAGTATGGTTCAAGCGCTGACGCCTGCCGATATGAAGTAGATGTTTTGTGAGCTTTTGCTGATGGGTGTGTTTTGAAAACGGCTTCCGGATCGCGACATGATGATGATGACGATGATGGGATTTTCCTTCCTCTTTCCCATTTACCATTGGGGCCTCCTTTCTCCGGGTTGAAGAAGAGGCGTAAGGGTACTCGACGGGATTTCTGGGTCGGGTTGTATTTTCAATTGGTTGGATACCACGGCGGAGCACGTTTTTTGTCGTTTTTCTGCTGGATTGTCTGTCGCACAAACAAGCCGGAATTATGGGAGTAATGGCATGATATCTAATGGAGGCTGCGAGTGCGAAAAATTACGAATCTAATTTCTTTTTCCGGTTTCTAACCTGCAACATTCTCCTTTCTGCATGTGATTGTGGCCCAAGTCTATATCTATTATGCCTCCACACCATAACCAAGCAAAGACAAAACCTCAACACACTCTCTCTCCTCGGCAGCATCCACATCCTTTCGTCAGCCGCTGCTGCCCGGACATCCCTTCCTCCGACGTAAGATCGAGATAGGGCGAGAAAGAGAGAGCTGGGCATGCTTTTTTCTCACTGCTTAATGTACACGTGCTCGCCGCGCTCTAGCACAGAGACGTCCATGCCGACCTCGAGCCAGGCCTGCATGTACTCGACGCGGTCAGTGCCCTCGAAGAGCGGGCACATTTGCATGCCGAGGCACCCCATGCGCGGGGCGCCCTCGTCGACGTCGCGGAGTTTGCGGAGGGACCTGTCTGGTTCGACGGTGTGGCGGGCGCCGGTGACTGGGTCGACGTTTGGCATTTTGCAGCTTTTTTTTTCGAGTCATGTTAATTTCTCAATGTTTGGGGTTTTGAGGAACATGAAAAGGGGGCGAGGGAGTGGGTGAGGGAATGAGTGAGTGAGTGTGAGTGCTTACCGGACTGTACGGCACGAGACTTGGAACTTTGCCGGGACGGTGACCTTTGAGGTGCCCTGGGTGAAGTTTACCCATTTCCATGATTCTTCGTCGTAGGCTGGCGCACCAGAGACTATGTAGTTACAGTGGTCAGTAAAGCTCTTGAACCTAGAAAACTTTTCCCACAATCGAGTCTCTGGAAAGTCTCAAACGGAGGGGGGGGGGGGGTCATCTCAAGCTATGTCAGATCGCAACTTACCAATGATGTTGGACCGGAACCGCCTGACGTCGAGATGCTTGAGCTCATCGTCCTTGGGGACCTTGGCGTCAAAGTCCTGGAGACTGCTGATGTTCATGATGTGCAGGGGATACTGGTTTCCAAGAACAAAGTTCGTTAGCCTCAAGTCACAGCTCTCTATCCGTCTCTCACTTTCCGTCCATATCTCTCATACCTTCCAGAAGGGAAGAGAGAGGAAGCGAGAGAAAAGGGGGGAACACAAAGAGAAGAAATCAACTCACAGCATCCTGAAATCCAACAATGGGTTGATACCCAGCCTCCTCCTTCCGCGGCGCACACCGATACACCTCCCTCAACTGCCCCGGATCAACCCGGAACAGCGTCAACTTGTTACTCACCCCCAGATACCGACACAGCTCCCCCGGCAACTCCTTTTCCATATTCAGCGCCGGCACAACCTCCTTCCACACTTTCACGTCCTCGCGCGTATACCCGCGCTCCGCAATCTCCGCCTCGGTCGGGAACTCGACGGGCAACAACACCTCCATCTCCGGGACGCCCCGCCACCCGTCCCGGATCTTGGACGCCACCCACGACATGGTGCCCCGGAACCCCGGTTCCCTCCAGGGAAACCGCATCACGATCCATGCGTCCGACGACTTCTCCATAAAGACTGTGGATTTCGTCGCGTCCGGAACGTAGACGTCGACTTTGACTGTTGCGAGCAAGGGGAATTGGCGCTGCGTGACGAATTCCCAGGTGTGTTGGTCCTTTGCCTCGGCGGAATCGTCCACGGCGGCCGGAAACCGGGATTTGAGCTGTGCAAAGGTGTACAGCCTGTCGAATTCCAGGCCGGTGGGCAGGAGCTTGCTCCGCGTCACCTCGATGCCGCGGCATGATTTGATGGGGTAGACGCAGAGCGCCTTGAGCTGGGCGACGGGGCCGGCATTGGAGGCGGTGTTGCTGTTGCTGCTGTTGTTGGACTTATCGGCCTTGACGGAGTGCTGGTCCCGGAGGTTGCTCTTTGGCGGCGGGACACCAATCTTGGTGTGCGTTGACCGCAGGGCGTCGCTGGTGGTAGCCGGGATCGGGGGAAAGATGTAGAGGACCGGGACGAGGAAGCAGAGGAACGTGGCAAAGGGGAGGAGGTAGAAACCGATGCCGAGGTGCTGTGGCTCACCCAGAGCGGATGCCGAGATATTTGGGTCCATTGTGATTATGCTTCTTTCGCTTTCCGTGTCTTCTGTTCTTTCTCAGACAAAATGATCTTCCTGTCGCTCGGTTTCTCAATGTCTGTTTGTTGTGTGCTTCCTGTTTACAACAGTCTCTGGTTTCTCCCTGTAATCACTCACTCGCTCACTCACTCCCTTGCTTGTAAGACGGATTTTGGGTGGGTTCTGATGAGAGGCAGGCGGTCGTGTGGTTGAAAGCTCCACCACGAATCTCTCACACACAATGTTTTATTTCGTCGACGGTATAATTGAGGGTTTTCTTAGTTCATGGTACGATATGAGCTTCACATCATCTCACCCCTTTAGACCACGCTTCCTATGGACAGCGCGGCTGAAACTTTCCATTCATCCCTTTCGGCAGGGTCCAAGACCCCTACGGCCCGGGCGCGCGTTTGCTACTGCCATCACGTGCAGAATCAAGTGACCTCTCCCCAGAGAGAAAGAGACTAGCTTAGTCATTCGATCGTCTCGAGATGAAGATGGTCTGTGCTTGAAACGCAACTTGGTCCAAGACAAATTCGGTCCCAAATCCCCCGCGCCTACTTTCAGAACCGCGCGGGTGGGTGGTCGTGGGTATTTGCAGTCCCGTGACTTTGTATCCCTATCTGTACTCCGTAAGGAGTACCGCACCCACGGCCATCTCGAGACGTGTAATCGTCAATTCGAAACAAAAGCAGGGGAGCTGTTGTGATCTTCATTGCGGAAAGCGGGATGATGCCATCAGCACGGGGAGGGGGATTGCAGATGCCACGTACCGTATGTACTGGCGACCCCTACACCCCTATCAGCCACAGCAGATGGATGACGCCAACATCTCATTCACCCTCCCACGCCTCCTTGTCGATTCTTACGTCCGTATGCGTAATAGCTTTAGAGGTGCGGTGACACATCTCTAGCGGCAGTTAGTTCCGGCGCCTGTGGATTTTATTTTTTTCTTCAATTGGTTCCTGTGTTGTACGACGAATCAACTACACATCTCCGCGAGGTCTTCAGCACAGAGATTGAGTGTCAAATGCGAAGGGAGGGGGAGCATGAGATCGCCCTCTAACCTCCAGGTCCAGCACAACCTCTATGTACGGTGTACCTTGGCAAGTCGATCTGGAAGCGTAAACTCCGTTCACTCGGGGCCAAATGTTAAGGACCCGACGAGGTTCGTCCGACAACCTCTGGGCGCAATGCAATGGTATTCACAAAGTACCGACAGCTTTAGCCGCCGCTTCCAACTCGGCCGTCGTATTAACCGACGTAGCAGGAGTGACTGCAACGCTTGGTTCGTATATCACCAAGGAAGAACGCCTCCGGCCGAGAGTGTCTTTTTGCGCCCGTTGTAATCTGATGGCACGGATGAGAGTTGGGCTGTTGTAGTTGAGTGTGACAAAAATGTCCCTCGGTCTGATCGCAATGTTGCAATGGGCTGGCGAACATAGTCCGTTCTTTGCGTAGTATCCATTGGGAGTCTCCCGCATAATCCCCGAGAGGAAAACCCCAAACCGGTAGCATTGCAACAGGAGAGGAAGGCGAGGTGATGTCGTTGGCGCCCGTTGTGATTGGATATTCAAATCCAGAGTAGTATTCCCTCGTCGGATCGGAAAATTCGAAGGCGGGCTGTCCCTGAGACTGTGCAAAAGAACTTTGAGGCTGCATGGATCCAGTTCCATGGGATCTACAAACACGGTCTGGTCTGGTCTGATCATTTGGGTCAAACCCTTCAATCCGCCCACGGCCAACTGCGCATACCATATAGCTCGTGTGAACTATGCGAGCACCTGTGAACTGTCTCTGGGAAATGATTATGGGAGGCTTGTAACTTGCCTTGTTCAACTCCAGCAACGGAGACGGAGAAGTAGCAAGACGAAGCCGATGTCACATAATGCATGGCTGTGTAGTCGATCGATCATGAACATCTTTCCCATAGGAGAGAATAGTAATGGTTACACCGATACTATGCGCCCAGAGAAGCTTTGAAATATCGGCAGATCATTTGCATCGTTCCTGCACCTCTGGCCCATCTGGGACGCGCGTTATAGGTAGGTAGGAGCCCTGAGGAATTCGGCCCGGACGAAGAAGAGCCGCACGTCCGACTAGAGTCTGAGGTACCGTATGGAAGGGGCCATTGTGATGTTCAATGCCGAAAATACCTCGTCAATCAAGTCGGAGATTGACAAAGTAGGCGCATGTATCAACGTCTCCTACACCGGATGGCGCTTTGCCGCGAATTTCGAAGAGTAGATCAGGATGCTACTCTAATACTGTGACGGTGGCTTTGAAATCTGGACACATAGACCCTGACTGGGGATGAAAGAGAGAGAGAGAGAGAGAGAGAGAGAGAGAGAGAGAGAGAAAGATGGCATCCCACAACCCGGTCAAGACCACATGATTTAGCAAAGATGACATACCGGGACGATTGGTCCACTCAGCGCCCGTCTGGGGTAAGAACTTGATATCAAAGCGCACGATGAGTACGGTCGCTGATGTTCAACAGCCTCACGAGGCTTTCGCTAGGCAGCATGAGCCGGGATGCAGAAGCCACCGACCGCGCCTTCCATCAGCTCAGTAACCCCGTCTGATAAAAAGGCAGATAGCTGGTTGAGTAGGAGTAGATACGAAGCATCTCAAAGAGACCAAAACCAAAGTGTCCTGAACATGGAACGCGAAACAGAGATTACAAGAGGCCTTTGCGTCCGTAGTAAGACATGGCTGACCCCATAACAACTGGGTGTGGATGACGACCAACGAACCTTGACTGGAAAAAACGAGAAGTGATGATGATGGCCGTCACAATAGATCGACCGTCACTCTAAGGGAGTCGGAGCCAGGGCCTTCTCTCCGAAACTGACATAGGTCTGGCCTCTGTGTTCTGATGTCTCTTCCAGGATGCGGTTTTTCTTTCTTTCTCGATTTCTCGAGTAGGCAGTGATGTTCCTCTGTCAATATGCCGTCCTTGATGCTGTTGGTCACTTCTACTCCCTGCTCATAGGTAGCCAAGTATGTTGATGTCAACATGGGGGCTGTAATAGAGGCATGCTGTTAGACCTGTCCGGTTGATTCAACCTGAAAACGCCTTCCGTATTGTGTCAGCCATCCGCTTGATCCTTTAGATAAGTTAGTCATCGGAGCATATACCAACATTGGTATGGTGAGCATACCTACTGTCGATTTTGCCAGCCACAACGCCAGGGCCTCTTTGCCGATCTCACTTGACGGCACTTCACAAGTTCACATTGCTTCAAAGCCAACGCTGGCTGCTTTTGCCCCACTGCGGAAGGGATGGGAAAGCGTAGAGAACGACGTGAAGCCTTGGGTTCATCTGAGGACGAGCCCCCCATGCCCCCGTCTTTGCGATCCTTCTAGGCCCTGGCTAGGCAGATTTTGGAAAGATGCCAAGCATCGTTGGCCTTTTGTTTTCGCGCTAGATTTCTGGACGAAAGACGTTCGTAGTATGGCGAGTGGCTGCATACGTGTTAACTAAATGCGGGTTCGCGTTCTTTGTTCAATTCCGTACCTCTCTCTCGAGAAGATCGGTACAATCGTATCTGCCGCCTGGGTTCCTGAGCTTGAGTAAAGACCGATTGACTTTGCCAGTCTAAGCATAGTTGCGAATTGGCCGACTGTCGGAAGAGCTGCGGCTTACTTCGAGGCTGGCAGCACTCGAGCATATTCTACCGCTTGTCGCCATTGACGCATCTGAAGAAGCCATGCCTGGCATATGGGACTCTTCTCCGGGTCCACGGGAGACGGAGGCGGGTCTCTTTTGATTTGTTACAATAGTGAGCAGCTTCCCGCCTTTGTGGTTACTAGGTTATGAGCAAGGGAGCCATTTTCGCTTGCGTTCGGCGCTGTGCTCGTTTGATCACTGTGTGCAAAGCTAGACGGCTATATCAAGCCATCTTATTGTTTGTGATTTGCAAACTGGATCCGTTGTGTTGCGCTGCCAAACATGGCTGTCTTCTGGTACTACCAGCCTTGCGCAGGTCGTTCATCCGATGGGCGTCAAGCTCGAAAGGGCAAGACAATCTGCTGGCACTATTGAGGAGATTAAGCCAACGGCCGTTACCGTTAAACGTCTGCAGCGATCAAGATTCGCCGCGCCATAGATGGCCCAACGGCTGTTGGGAAGCGTGCGATACCATTGTCCTCGCTTTCGGCAGCTCAAGAGTGTCATTTTGCAGCGCTTCCCACCCTAACCCAGGGCCGTATGCCATGTTACCTTGTCCGTGGTTTCCCTCCATTTTGGGGTGGGTTTGTTGTCAAATCCGTGTCATAACTTCGTAAGTACGGAGTAGGCCAGTTTAACCATGCTGGATCAGGACGTTGTCAGAATTCGAGTAGGGAGCTTGGGGCCGTAGCTGCCGGACTGCGGGAACTGTTGAGCGAGATGCTTGCGCTTCTGCGAGGGGGCCTATCTAGGGCGCATTCCCCTTTTCTACGGATAGATGCATCATGTTCTTGTCGCGGAGTGTTGATACACAGAAGGAAAGGCCTCATAGCTACCCGCCAATATGTTATTTGTTCCAGTACACGGGTGGCACTTCCTGTTGTCACCTCTCCATGGCAACATTGACTGCTCTGTACTCCGTACTGGCAGAATGTTGGAAACCCCCGTCTTGGCTGTCGTTGAGCCCAGTAGTCACCATCGAGGTTCCGAGGCGGCCGACATATTGAGAAACAAATCTGCAGTCGGATTCATAACCCATGATCCCAACAAGGACCCAGAACTATGACCGCCTCCGTGGTGGGGATTGGGAAAAAGCAATGAAGGAAGAGTTGCGAGAGGCTTCAGGGCTCAGGCCTGTCGTATGCCCCCTTGTCTCGGGGCGTGCCTTGCCACGGGAAATCTGCAACCCTACGCCGGCAGCGGACGGCCTAGGTCTCCAAGAAAGGCGGGAGAATATGAGGTGCGTCTGCTGCGTGGGATTTACACCTGACGACTAGCACCCTCGACGCTGAATAAGTAGGCCGCAGAGCGCTGCAAATAAAATTGCGAGACAATGGTGGTTTTGTGGCAAATCCTGCAGATTAGGCCATGCATTATCTTTTCCGGATAAAGCGTCTTCTCCGTCATATATGACGGGTTTGACGACTCGTTACGGTGGGCCAGATCCTGCTATAGGGTGCTATTGCTGGTATTGAAGCAAACAACATGGATGGGACGAAGTCGCAGCTTCGAGCAGCTGATTGCGTCGTGACTCGGGGTTTCCCGAGCCAAAGCAGACAGCGATGCGGTACGACGCGGATAGGACGATTGGATTAAGACGCAAAGGGCCCAGAAGCGCTGCAAGCTTCCGTCCAGCCCAGGCTGTCATGCTGAAAAAGAAAGTTGAGGGGAATTTTCTGTTCTAGAAGCCGGGCCGGTGGTGACGGGCGCGACAGAACCAAGCCAAGCAAAAGTAAGGACAGAATTGGGTTCCATTATGCGGCAAACTCGGAGCAGATGAGACGTTGCAGTCCATCTGAACAATCGAAATGTTCGCACTGTCGACTGAGAGAGAGGGAGAGAGCGTAGGGCGCAGCGAAGTCTAAAGCTTCAGCTCCGCTGGTCTTTTTCGTAGAGCCAAGATACTTGGAGATGCATATGAAGCATGCCGTTTTTGGCCACAGACGCACAGGGCGCTTGCTGCTTGTTTGATGTGAGGTGTGTTTAAACTATGGCGGCGTGCAATAAGGCTGATTATCCGGTATTGCTTGACAGCTGCAAGCAGCAAAACAAGGGAATGGAGTGGATGGCCGAAATGATCCAAGTCCAGGTCCAGCAGAAGTGTCTCGGAAAGTACCGCAATTCGCCTTTGTTTGAGCAGTTAATATGGCGCTGTTGTTGAGGGGCCGTTGTTTATTTTAGAAACTGCTGCATGGTGATGGAACTGTTGCTGTGAATGTGCGAGGGAAGATGCAATGCGGTGCTATGCAGTGCAGCGCATGACATGACATGGCATTGCAGCAGCTGAGTCTAAGTTACAGCACGCTATTGCCGTCCACAACCGTCACAAGCTGGGAGGGCGAATAAGGCAAGTGTGGCCACACGAGAGGCACCTCAGGCAAATTATGACCATGGGCCAGTTCCTAGGGGCGGAACAAGGCGGAAAGTGACTGATCGGTGGAGCGACCTCAGATTGTAGGTAGGTAGGTACCGATACGGGTACGGAGTACCTTGGGTTCTCAATAATAATAAAGCGACTAATATCAGGTAAGTGCGGATACATACGACTGATCTGACTGCAGCCAAAACTGCTTCTCCGTATGCCGGTGGCAGCTGCAGTGGTTATTCGTAGGTACCCCTTATTACAGTGAAAAGAAAAGAAACAAATACATAATCCCGAGAAAACATACAACAGAGGCAAAAAACCAGACCGGCAAGGGCGCAATGCTGCAGCGCACCTTCGATCGGTCTGGGCCGCTAGAAACCATTGGATCGGGTCATTGCAGGTTAAATTCACAATACCGCAGCGCCATAACGAGGCATATCCCGGTTCAAACCGACATCTGACTGGTCGGGGGCGACATGGGGAGAGTGAGATTGTGAGAGAGAGAGAGAGAGAGAGAGAGAGAGAGAGAGAGAGAGAGAGAGAGAGAGAGAGGGAGAGAGAGAGAGAGGGAGAGGGAGAAGATGATGTCACAATCGCAAGTCAATCGCAAGTCAGCTTGGTTTGTACATAGCACCGTGGGGGAGAAGAGGTAACTTGGAGAGGTGAGAGGAAAGGATGTTGATATTGGAGAAGTGAAGAGGAGCTGTGTGAGTGTGCTGCGTGAGAGTGTGAGGCAAGGCGCAATGATCAAGAGCCGGCACTTTCCCTACCATCCGGATCTTACCTGAGGATTTGAAAGCACGCGCTACATATTGCAGGTCCCTGTCCAGCCTCGGTCTTCCTTGCTAAAACTCGGCCCCTAAAGCAGGTGCAATGCGGAGATGAAGCCACCGTGCAAGGTTGGACGCTGTAATTTTGCATTCTGCACTGAGGGACTTGCGGATATTGAAGCCAACTTTGGCATATGTTGGCAGTATCATGACTTGGGCATTCATTCTTACGGGTACACGGTACTATAGTGTATCCGTAGAGGGTTGACGGGGTACTTCGTACTCCGTATGGAATCATGGAATATGGAATCATGGTTAACACATCTTGACAAGGTAGGTAGGTAGACACCCTGGGAACTCGGATTGATCATTGAGGTGCCTTCTACGTAGTATGCCTTGGTGCTGCTGGGGTTCCGCCACCCACCGCTTTTTTACTTATTTTTGTTTCTCATTTTGTGGGATTCCACTCATGTATCAAGATAGGTATAATAGCAGACAATAGTATTGAATGATTCAGGAAGGTCCAACGGAAAACCGAGGTTCATAAGACCATGTGTGCATAGACACAGTTCCTTGGCTGTAGATTATCCAATGATCGACTCGATCAGAACCTTGAGTGGTATATATTTGGCCAAAGAGGAACGAACTCTTGTTGGATGGATGCACAATGTCTCCAGTGTATCATCGGATCTTGCGTTGCCGCGCATTCCTCAAATCCATGAATATGACTGCATACTCCGTATCCGTAGTTCGTACTGAGTTACTACTGACTCTTGAGTCTCAATGTCAACCCCGACTCCTTCTGACCCATCCTCGTATGCTTGAAGTAAAGTGTTGAATACAAATGCAAATGCTTTTAGGTCCAGGATGAAGTGCAGGGCCATGGCCACCATGCTCCTACTCCGTACGGATAGACCACGGGGCCATGCCATGTTTCTCTCCGATTACCAAATTGGCAGAATTTAGGCAGGCACGGCAGGAAAGGCAGGGGGGCGGGGGGGGCATTGGACGTGCCGTGGGCCGCCTGCCTCCTGCTGGTTGAGTCTTCCATTGACAAAAGGTCCCCCCGACAGTCGACGCCGACGGCACCATGGGACCGAATCGTGGGAATTTGGAAGGTGGACCCGGCCCGTCCAGTTTTTGACTCCTGCTGTTTCGAGACTTGATCATCCAAAGAGACCCTGCTATTCCTGCCCTCTTTTGCAGCACATTAATTACATAATGCTCCTTTAAACTCACCATCCCCACTCGGGCTACTCTCCACTTTCATTTTTTTTCTTCTTCCTCCGGTCCGCGGATGCCTTGATCGTCCGCCTTTTTCTTCTGCGTCTTCCAAGTTCCATCCATCCATGCCTGTGCTGCGATACAACACGACGAACACAATTCCACGTGACTCCCACGCTTTTTTCACTTCTCGATATGGCTGGTCGGCCACGCGATATGCAAAGCCTGGTCTGAACCAACCTGGATCAAAGTAAACGGTGCCTAGGTTCATCGCTGTCGCATCTCAATCCATCCTCTGCGACCTCAAGTTGTTTGGGCACGAATGGAATCCGGATGAATCAACAACTATCAAGACCTCTACGGAAACGGGTACGGAGTAACAATGCACAGTACAATGCGCCCGCCGTTCATGATCAATTCGATGGATCTGGCCATTGGTACAAAGCAGTCCGGACACTTCTCCATCTCCCAAGTCCCAGCTCCTCTTCCAAATATCCTCCTTACCGCGCACGACAGCGATGGCTGCATATCGACTAATGCAGGCTCGACCTCCCGCCTTGAACGAGCCCTGTCAGATCAACCTTGGGCACGCCCACTTTGCTGGCTTTTTACAGTAGCTGCGCAATGTACGTATTACGGAGCAAGAAACCACCCTCGCCTTCTGCCGCTCATCCTGGCATGGGACGATGTTGCTCTGCTTGCATGTTGGGATTGTTGATCAGTGCCCGCTTTCGATCCACAAACGACGCCTCCATTGGTCTCAACCACTGGCATGGCCCTCCCTGCCCCGACTGTCCTGGGACGGAAGCCAGTCTCGATCGTCGAATCCTACAAAGTTTCCTTACACACAGTACTCCGTACCTACACATCACTCCTCTCCTGCTTTTGGTCGAAATGCGCCAACGCCAGACGCCCCCGAGCGGGTGCTCTTTTTATGTATTCACCGCAAGCGCTGGATATTTTCGATCTTGCGCACCAGCCTATGTCCCCGAGATCTCATCTGGCTTATTCCATATAGCCGTCATAGTACGTACGGATAGGCAATACCCAACCAAGTGCCCTCTTCTAGCATAGACTCAAGGAGGTTAGACAATTCAACGAGCTTTCTCGGGACCACAGGGGGGAACGGCCCAGGCACTGGGATTACATGAACCAACAGGGCGGAGAAACTTTCAATCAGGTACCCTTTTGCCAGGGCCGGTCCCCTCCCCTGGCATCTTGCTAGCTTTCCGGTGCTTCAGCTGCGACGTTTTCCTTTTCTTAACCGTCAGTACTGAATCGAGTCGCTCCCTCAGCTGCATCTTGCTGTTAACGCCCGCCCCCTTCGATCCCGCCGACTCCCGTTCTCCAAATCCAGCTTCCCCACTCGAGTGCGACATGTCACTGAGCACAGGCACCGGCAGCTACTCTACAGTAACAGACGACGGCGGCAACGGCACCGACCTGAACTCATTTCTCGTCCCATCCTCAGGACCGCCGCCTTTTAAGCATGGGCGCTAGCGGCATCAGGTTCTCAAAGCCAAGAAAGCTAGATTATGCTGCCGCTGCTGCTCTCACATTTCCTTCTGCCCTTGCGCCCTCCGCCACACCACCCCGGCCGCACCTCCCGACCCCATGTCTGTGCTCCCGCTCCAACGACACCCCCTTCACCATTTCAATGACACCAAAACCTGGGACCCAAGACCTGGAAGTGGGTGGGGAGTGTGGGTGTGGCTAGGGTTGATGAGGGGTGCTGGTCTCTCCGTCCTGCTCCTCCTCCTGATGCCTCCACCAAGGCCATGGCTCTACGCCCCGACAGCCTGGGAACACGCAAAGCATCCATGAGTGCCTAGCCAGCCAGTCAGTCCCCTTCTTCTGGCATTCCACGGTAGCTCTGGCTGTTCGTGCCGCTGCAAATTGGGGTGTTCCACGGGTCCTTGACTCCTTTCTACGACCTCTGCTAGTAACAATGGCTCGGACTCGGCGGGGGGGCATCTCTTCTTTGCCATGCTGCGGATACTGCTCATATGGTTCGAAATTCGAATACGATCATTCCGAGCAGTCCGCCCGCTGCGACGGATAGCTGTCAACAGATCCACGGGAGCTTCCCTTGATCAATCTCCGCCATCTTAGACAGGACCAGGCCCACATTGTCTAGGAGTGACCTTTTAACACGAGCTTATAGGCCTAGAGCTGTGACTGTACGCCAGGGCTTGGACAAGTTCCGCGCTAGAGTGGCACAGAAGAACGCGCCCACGGTTCTCTTAAACTGCCAGGCGAACGCTGGCGCCGCTCAACGCATTTGCGCTACATGGTAAATTTGCGCGGACAGGCTTTTAGGAACGCGGGTTTCAAAGGATGGGCCTGGCGGCGATGTATAAGCAACTCGGGTTGTACTAAGCAACTAGTGAGAACGCCGCCGTTCACTCATCCATGTCAATTCCAGGGCAACTATGCCCAGCTGTCACGGCTCTTCTCTCGCGGGATCCGAGATCAGAACATCAGATCAACAACAGGAACCTCCACATCATTTTCAGCTAGCCTGGTGTTGATCAAACTTCAACGACCAGATGTTGACAGGGCTTCAACTGTCGCTTTTCCGCCCAACCCTCGCAAGCTCATTCCCAGCTTTGCCCCCACCATCGACCTGGGCGCTTGCTTTGGCCCGTTACATCACATTAGACACAAGACCCTTGTCTCATTTTTTGCCAGGGCTTATCTGTGCCTCTTCTTCCGTCGGGTTCTGACGTCCAGTCCAGTTCCTGATCCAGACTTCTTTGTACTTTGTACGCAAGTGAGGAGGAAACCCATCTCTCCAGGCCGAGGGGTGAGTCGAACCTGTCTACCGGTACCGCTGGGTCGGACGATCTTTACTCTTCTCCCTATGCTAAGACTTTGGGCAGACGGCCAGACCAATTCGAGCACAGCCCGCGGACATTCACAGCCGTTTGGGCTTAGGACGACCAGCCGTTGCCACGTTCATCAGTAGACACGGGTGGTGACTGGACTCCATATCACGCCTTGGATCGGCCTCTTGCCAGCGTCTGCCACGCCTCAGCCGCCCCAGCACTCACGCGCCATCCCGGAACCTTAATCAATCTAGGGCCGTCTTTCCAAACCGCTTCTCCCGAGGCTAGGGAACCACCAGCAAGACACAGAGCTCGCAAGGGTGGCTGCGCCAAAAACCCCTTCACCCCGCGCCAGCTTCTTTCATCACTTTTCAGGACAACCGTTCTCTATCCCAGTCCATTCTTGAGGATACTATTACTGTTGTGGACTGTCCAACCGTCTAGACATTTCACATTTTCGGCAAGTCACATACTCTAGGCTACCTCAGAGCTGCCTATCTGGTCGACTCTCGCTCCCTACTTGGCGCCACCCACCCGTACACCATCACGCACCAGCGGGCTTTTTGACTTTGGAATTCACATTCCACGCCTTTTCTGGCTGTAACGCAGCTACAATACCCACATGTTTGGGCAGTTTCGTCTCACTTTTGGCCTTGCTACTGGCTTCGAATCTTCAGATCTGACGTATTCATCCGCTTGAAGCTCTTTGACAACCCCCTTCTCTCGATCTAGTCCCATTGTCGGGCCCAAGTGAGTGGAACACGGCAAATTGATACTCACCAAGCCGTTGCCGTGTATCTCATCTCATACTACGGCGTATTCTTCACATCCGTCACTATTCAACGCCGGACCCTTCAGTTCCAACTAGGCTTAGGTCAATCACAACGGCCAGCCGCCCTCTCAACAGCTTCCCAGTGCTTTCGAGCTCTGCCGGGATCGATTCGGACGCGGAGACCAGACAACACCACCTCGCCATCTCTGTCTAGGTCTTGACTTCCCTTCCTAGCGTAGTAGCTTCCAGGAGCCCCCGCCAGCAGATCACCAGAGCGCGAGCTGCGATACCCGCTCTCCAGTCAATCCAGTTACATTGTGGCCGTTCCAGTGCCCCACTACCGTCATCACCACCCGCAGTAAAAGCTATCGGAAGAACTGGTGTGGCTCTGGGTGACCGAGACCCTCTGAGTGGCACAGTTCGCCCTTCTGCTTCCCCAAAAACAAGGAGCGAATAATCTCCCTCTCAAGTCCGCTCACAACTACAACCACAGACCCCTCTCGACATATGCCGGATCCGCCGTTGCTACTCCCCTAGTCATTCTTGTGAGATACGTAGGTTGCCACGGATTCAAGCTACAGTTTTGAAGGAACAGTATCCATGCCCCGGATCAGATTCCAAGAGTTCGCCATCTCAAGCTCCCGATTTGATCTACCTAACCGGGCCACCACGCCCCTCTATTCGGGCGGCTCCTCCTTCCACAACTCTCCGTCTTTTCACCTCAAGGAATTCATTCCCTAACAACAACTTGGCTCACTCCATCCTCTGGCTTGCTCAGTCTGGCCACCCCACCGTAGCTCGCATTGCCGTCACGATCAGCGACCCACGAAATCCAAGGGATACATACGGCTTTACCGTTCCTTCGAGTACGGGCAGAGCATGCCAGCTCCCCCCAGGACATCGTAGCACACGATCCACAAAATCTCACCTTCTCAGTCCCTTGCCTTCCACCTGAAAACCACGGCGTCGGCCCCTTCCAGCCGCCAATATGGGGGACTATTATCACCATTTTCTCACCTCCATGACGGGGGTGGCAGCCAGCCAAAGTACAAGCCCACAGGACATACATCCTCCCCAATTTCCAGGTGCCCAAATGCCGATGATGGGCGGTGCCATGCCTGGGCCATATCCCAATCTTGGATACTTCACCGGCTTCCCTGACCCCGTTGGGCTTACTGCCCCCAAATCCTCGAGGAACCGAAGAAAGTCGGCTTCAGGCTTAGATCACGTCAAGCATCGACGAACAAGATCTGGTTGCTACATGTGTAGAAGTAGGAGAGTGAAGGTATGTCCTCCCGTTCTCCGTATGTTGATGATCTTCTGACACTCTAGATAGTGCGATGAAACTCGTCCAGTCTGCGATAGTATGTCTAGCCGAAAAAGGTATTGACGCGTCGCATCGTTAACAAGGCCACAGGATGTCGGAAAGGTAGCCGTGAATGTATCTATCCAGAGCCGCCAGCAACCAAGGGATCTCCAGCCCAGGGATCCTCGTCCAAAGATGGGACTTCTACGCAACAGCAAGCCAGTCCAGAGTCTTCCAACGATGCTGAAGACGGGGAGGACGACACAGAGCCTGCCGGTTTAGACACCATTCTTGATGAGGACGAAGGAGAGGAAGAGTCTTTTCAGAGACAGTTTTCTGGGCCGAGTAGAAGCAGCACAGCTTCTTCGTTCAACTTGCAACGTACGGGAGGCACACGGCACGGCTCCGAGACGCCGTCGCACGAGGGAACGAAGAGCGCCTCGCCTTCAACGTCTACTGCGAGTAGCCAAACGACAACCGCCTACACGATGCCAGATCTTGCAATCTTGTCCCTGGGTGGTCACGCCGACTGGTCACATTTACCCCCCGACCTCCGGCAGCATCTGGAATACTTTTGCGAGAACGTTACTCACTACCATTACTGCATGCTCACTGACGCACACGAGTTCTTTCGCGTGATACTGCCGAATTTTGCGTTGCAGAACGAGGCTCTGTTGTACGCGCTCGTGGGCTTCGCAGCTTACCAGCGTACAATACAAGATCTCAACGGCAAGATGGAAGAGTTTCTGAAATACTACAACAAGAGTGTTATCCTGTTGCTCAACTCCCTGAAGAGGAAGGAAAAGCACAACGTTGCTATGTTGTTGACTGTCCTTCAGCTTGCCACAATCGAGGTATGGAAGCCCCCAGATACATTCGGATAGCAAAATGTGGCTAATCGGGAATGTAGGAGTACCTGGGCGACTGGATCAACCTCATGGGGCATCAAAAGGCTGCATTCGAGATGCTAACACACTTGTTCACACCTCAGACGGCCACGCAGAGCCCCCTTGGCAGAATGATTGTCTCATGGTATGGACGTTTTGACATCTTCATCGCTATGATGGGCGGCTTCCCCACGATGTTAGCCCCCGAGTGGTTCACAACGTTCGTAGAATACTGCGACCAACAAGCCATTTCGGATGAAGCAGACAGTCTACACTGGAAATTGGAAGCGGAGTCAGGTCGCCTGCGGGTGATTTCGAGAGAAATGTCGACCCTCTTCGCCCGAGGTAGCAGGGGCCAGATAACACCGGAAGATTTCGCGACAGAGCACGAACGACTGCAAAACTCGCTACAGGGCTGGAAAGACGGATGGGACCACGCACTTACTGACCCTGCTTATTTCGTCACGGACTTTAGCCACGCGAGCCCCTTGGGCGATGACGATATCGTCGACCCGTTCATCACAGGAGTCCTGTACGATTTCCCGATATTCTCCACGACGCTGCTTACCAGCGAGTTCAACTCTACCATGATGATGCACAAGTGTCAGTCTTCGACGACGCAGCGAGAGCACCTATACGGCGAGCTCAGAGGCCACGCCTATGCCATCTGCCAAATATTTGAGGCTGTCGAGAGGTGGCCGTCAAGCCCGAGGGGTAGTTTGATACTGATCCAGGCCTGTATTGCCCTATCGGCGCTGTTCTTACCGCAGGATGCCAAACATCACAACTGGATTCGGAAGAAATTTGCTTTGCTAGAGACTAAGGGGTAAGTGACATTACTGGCTGTATTTTTTTTTGTTTTTTTTTTTTGCTTTACCTCGCCCACGACGGAGACACTGACGTTTGATGAAAACTTAACCAGATACATACACCCGATATCACTCCGCGCCAAAATGGCTGAAATGTTCCACGAGCCCAGCTGCGTGCGCTGGTGGCTGCCCAACGACGAGGGCTACAGCCGGATTCTGCAAGACGTACGGACCTTTGCCGATGAACGCAACGCCAACGCCGCATCCGCACAGGCGGAGAACCTTCGAGAAGTCAGACACATTTTTGCAAAGATGCAGATGGCGGAGGAGAACACAACACGAGCTGCATAGATCACGTTACAGACGAACTATTCGAAAGGGGGATTAGGGAGGATGGGGGGAATTCCGAGAACTTGAGTGACGAAATCCCATGGTTAAAATAAAAGGGAGGTGGGCAGTCATGGTCGAACCGGTACACACGAATCGACCAAAGCGTGGCTCAACAGTCGGACAGCATACGCTTAGCATCATGGGAGATGGAGTGGAAGGTTCATTGGAGGCTCGCACGTTGAAAGCGGACAATAGGAGGCAAACGAAGGAAACGAAAAAGGATTCGAGCATTGGTGGACGGGTCAAAACAAAAGCCGTGTAGGACGCACGCATTCTCCGAAAAAAAAAAACTTTCTACACCCTTTGGGCGGCATCTTTCTTCTTTCCTCCCCCTTTTATCTAGAGGGCCACATATATAAACCCATAGAGGCTTCGCCATACCCCAGGCAAAGCCATACGCATTTTGGCGTTGGGTCATTTATTATTGTTTTTTTTGCTTCCATTTCCCTTTCCCCCTTTTTGTTCTCATCCGATTATTCGGTATAGCAAGATCCCCCTTCTGCACCGTTGTAGGAGGATTAATGTATTATATTTCTGTATATCTTCTTGGACATTTTTCTTTTTCTCTGTTTCTTCATCATCGCCCACATATTGTGTTTGGCTTCGGCACACCATTCATCTACATTGTTAGACATAGATCTGCGTGAAAACTTGTTTCTCTTCCTATTTATACACACACCTAGTGATGCGTTTTCCAAAAAAAACATCACGAGATATTTTTAAAAGAGAAAAAACCCAAAAGAATAATACTATACATACGTGGACCTCATCTCATTACAATAATAGGGAAAAGAAAAAAAGGTATACCAGTATCAGAATTACCACGAACTGGTATGACGGATAGGCAACAAGTCTGTAACTTGAACCTTCATCAATCCGCAAAGTCATTAAACTTCCCTCTCCCTCTGTCATGTCTCCTTAGCCTTCTCAACCTCTTTCTCCGCCTTCTCCTCTTTCGCCTCGGGTTAAGGTTCCGTTTCCACCTTGTCGGCCTCTTCGGCCTTGCTGTCGGTATCCGCAGCGTCTGTTATCGTTATAGTCTCGTCTGCTTTGACGGCAGGTGACTCCTGAGCAAAGTCATGGGTGCTGACGTCTGCAAGCTCGCCAGACTCATCGTCCTTGGCTGCAGCGGGGTTCTCGTCAGCCGTCTGGTCAACGGCCTCTTTAGTTTCGTCCGGCCCCTCTTCTGTTGCTGCCTCGCTTCTTGATGCAGAAATGTCCTCATCCTCATCCTCCCTCCAGGTTTCATCTGGCCCTTGGTTTACGGAGGCCATGCCTCGCTCGCTTTCTTCGTAGACCAATGTTGTTTCCGCATCGGATTCTGTGTCAGAGTAGTCGGTTTCAATCACTTGAGGCTGCGCCGCAGCGGCCTCTTCCTTTTCTTCTGTGGGCGACGCATCCCCAATAATCTCCTTTTCAACAATCACCGGCACGTCGGCAACTTCGGGCTCCTCCTCGAGCGTCTCGGGGGCAGAGATTCGCATCTCCTGCAACTTATTTGTTACAACATTTTCTTCTTCCTCAGCCTCCACCACCGTCGTTACAGCACTGCCAACAGAGGGGCTCGCCCTGACGTGACGTCTAGTAGCAGTGCGGCCAACAGGCTGAAAGTTGTCGTCTTCGCCCTGACCGAGGCTCTCACGGTGGCTGGGCTTCACAATAGACATTGGCAGCTGCTTCTTATCGCCGCCATTGGCATCAGGCACCGCCGTCGCCGTCTCCAGACCCTCTGCCTCGGGCGGGAGCTTGTAGTTCTCGGCGGGGAGGAGGTCGTACATGTCGCAGACGGTCTTGAAGAAGACGTACAGCCCAGTCTGGCCCTCGATTGTCCAGAAGACGGCGCGGTGCTGGAACCAGGCGTGCGCAAAGATGCGATGCAGGCGGCGGAAGACATTGACGAGGTTCTTGACGGCGACGCCCTTGTTGTGGACGTCGGAGAGGACGACGAAGCGCGAGGGGAAGATTTTGGGGTCAGTGACAATGTTGGCGGCCCAATCGAGCGTGTGACAGCAGTAATCGATGGCGCAGCAGCTCTTGGGCTGCTCGTGGACGGCGCAGAGAAACTGCCACTCTGATGCGCGCATCTCGGGACAAGTCGCGGCGCTGCAGGGCGGGGAGTCGAAGAGGAAGCCGACGATGAGGGTGTTGCACTGCGAGATGAGGAAGCGGCACAGTTCATATAGCCAGAGGGTACGGTCAATGCCCGGCGGGGGCGTCGCGAGTTGGATTGCGGTCGTACGGGTTATCGGGACGCTGTTGCTCTTGGTGTGGTGGTAGTGGAGGGCGGCGAGGTGCTCTTGGAGCTGGAAGGCCGAGTCGAGCTATGGAAAAACGATCGTGTGAGTGGCAGGATCATGAATTGGATTAGGCTATTCACGGTGGTGCGTTGCTACGAACCTCATTAAGGGGGATAAGCGGCGGTCCAGCAGCCATGTCGGCGGCCTTTGTGCCCGGGTGTATGCGACGCCTCGAGTTGGCTTCGATGAGAGACTGCTCCATCGGCGAGGCCTCACGGTTTGATTGCGCGCCCATCGAAGGTGATTTGGGGCCGATTTGGATTTCAGCGGGCGGCGGCGGACTGGGCAGCCGGGGCGAGCTCGGCGCCATTGCCATTGTGCAAGGAGTCGATCGAGTGGTTGTGGTGTGTGAGAGTTATCTTCGGGATGAGAAGGATGGAGAGGAAACGAGCGTCTGGAGAAGTGGTTTGCAACCGCGGTTCGATTCTTTTTATAATTCCCCCTTTCGCCTCCAGAAGTCGCGGTCACACGAAGCGTCGTAGATGTGTTGGTATGTCGTGGATGGGTTGGGTTTGTCAAAGCTGGGCGAAAAGTCGTTGTTCGGGCGGCTAATCCAGAGCTCCAGGTCACCCACACCGAATGGAAGCGCTTTGGGGGCCAGAGCTCCTGGTTCGTTCTGCCGTGTCGCTGCTTTCGCAACCCCGGTACACCCAGCTCGGCTTAGTCAGGAAAACATCCCCAGCCGTCGTCGTGTGTCCCTTCTTCATTTTTTTGGGTGAGTGTCAGTGTGTGGGACCAGACGACGTCAAATAGGTACGTACCCTTGCCTTGAATACTACCTCCTTCTCGCCTGGGGAACTTTCTTCGCTTGACAAGTCAGTTGAAGGGCGTATTCTTCATAGAGAACTCTTTCGACTCTGCAACTTTTCTAGAGACCAACAAAATCCACTTATCTGCAAGCTACTCGCAGCTTCTTTGCATTCGATTTTTGAAGCTGTAAAGAACTGGTCAGAGCTCTCTCGCAGGGTTCCCCTCCATCCCAGCATGGATTTCGACGATGATGCCCCGCCTGATCTGGTAGAGGCCGGAACTGTCCCTGTGGAGGACCTGCCACCATCGGAGAGCCAGATCAAGGTCCCGATCACCATCGTGACCGGTTACCTTGGTGCTGGAAAGACGACACTTCTCAACTACATCTTGACGGCGCAGCATGGAAAGAAGATTGCAGTGATTATGAACGGTATGCCAATCGCATGACTAAACCTGTACCTGGGTGTTATACTGACAACATTCGCAGAGTTTGGTGACTGTGAGCTTTCTGTTGTGTAATCATAAAGTGGAACTCACTGACACTTTTCAGCGCTCGACATTGAAAAGTCGCTCACTGTCAATAAAGGCGATGAACAAGTTGAGGAGTGGCTTGAAGTCGGCAACGGCTGCATATGCTGCTCCGTGAAGTAGGAAACCCCCACCAGCTAATCCTGTCCGTGTTAACACGCCCAGGGACACTGGTGTCAACGCCATCGAGTCGCTCATGGAGAAGAAGGGCGCATTCGATTACATTTTGCTAGAGACCACAGGCCTTGCAGACCCTGGCAACCTTGCGCCACTGTTCTGGGTTGACGATGGCCTGGGAAGCACAATCTACTTGGACGGTATCGTGACTCTGGTAGATGCGAAGAATATCCTTCGCAGTCTCGACGATCCCGCCGGCAAAATTGAGATCGACGAGGACCACCAAGAGGATGATGGCCACAGTCACGGTCCGCTCATGACGACCGCGCACGTCCAGATCTCGCATGCTGATGTCATCGTCATCAACAAGTCGGATCTTGTCACCGAAGAAGAGTTGAGACAGGTCAGATCGAGGATAGAGTCTATCAATGGACTCGCCAAGATCCACGTCACCAAGCAGAGTGAGGTGCCCAAATTGGAAGGCTTTTTGCTGGATCTGCATGCCTATGACCAGGTCACGGAGCTAGATACCAGCCAAAAGGGCCACAGTCATCTAGATTCGGTAAGTGATTCCACGAAAGTCGCAACATGTCTCTGTTGCTGATCAAGTATAGACCATTTCGACCGTCTCGATACCCGTGCCAAAGTTGGTCCCGTCGCAGTTGAAGAATATCGATTGGTGGTTGAGAAAGATCCTCTGGGACCGTAAGCTTCCTGGGAACGAGAAGACGACACTTGAGGTTCATCGGTCAAAGGGTCGGCTCATCTTTGATAACGGCGATGTCAAACTCATGCAGGGTGTGAGAGAGATATTCGAGATTCTTGACTCGCCTGACCGATCGCGCGAGGCCACGCAAGCTCAGGGAGGTAAGATCATTCTCATTGGAAGGCATCTCAAGGGCGTCGACTTCGAGAAGAGCTTGGTAGATACAATCAACTCGAGCGTATGAATGGAAGTTCCGAGACACATCGCGTTTATATGTGCTCATGATCACTAAGACATTGACCGCAAGGTGTGCAGGAAAGAACCTTCAATAACGACAGGGGTAGAAGCTCTTCAGCGAGAGAGCGAGTGCCTCGGCTGGTGGGAAGCATCAATTCAACGCATACTCGAAGCTGCCATCTCATGTGTCGGAAAGGAACTGATGTCAAAAAAAGGCCCCAGGCACAGGTACGGCAGTAGTGCGTGTTCGCACTGATGCAGGGGTTTTTGGAGGGGCTCTGGACGCACAGGCCATCGGATCCATCTTTGACCGGTCCTCCGCGCGTTAGTGTTGGCTGGGCTTCGACGTCTGTACACTGTACGCCAGGAATCCGCATAGAGCTTCCTTCGTGTGCAAGCTTCAGAGCCAGAATAATCTTTCGAGCCATCTCGACCACGAACGCATCCTAATTGACCCCCGAACCCGACGCGACGACGAAACATACAACGCGATTCCCGATAGCGACCGTATACTTCCCGAGCCTTCATCATGAATCGACCAGGTAGGCCTGACCCTCTAGTCGTCCCCTTTCAGCCTCGGGGTACCCCGCCGTTTGCATGTCCATCAAGGCCACTGGGATCTCGTCGCACCTCTCAATTGTGGTCGCCGCGCCCCTATATCGTCGAGTGAACTTGAGGAGCATCGAACGTATGCACGCGAAACGTCACACCACCGATGATGCACTCAGTAGACACTTGCCACTGTTAGCGCCGACGTGTAGCCCTCATCCTCGAGGTCTAGCGCTGGTCCATCTCGACGTAGATACGGCCTTGGGATAAATAAGAAGGAGCTTCTTATACACGCGCTACTGTTGCAGACGGCGGTTTCGACCTTTGTTACTCTCAGGCGACACTCTTCAAGACCTCCAAGCTGACAATGGGCGCAACCAGTAGGAGTAGCTCCTCAATCACTGCGTGGCATACCGGCAGGTTTTGGTGGCCAGCAGCAGCAACAGCAGCAGCAGCAGCAACAACAACAAGCTGGGAGAGCAGTATCAAACAGGTTACCAAATGGCAAAATAGGTAGGGACACTCAGCTCTATCTCCTTATGTGTGGTGTGATTGTATACAATGGGGGCGCAAGCAGGAAGACCCGACGTTAACATGGAATTTCTTGGAATATACAGGCAGTAATGGGTCTGGCTGGGCATTTGGAGGAGGAGTTCCCATGGGAGGCGCCGGTCTGCCAAATCAAGCCCGTCAACTTGGAGGAAATGTGAGCTTTGCACAGAGCTTAAGCGGGTCGCAACCGGCAACACCGCTGGACCTTTCGTACGTTCTTTCCTCTTTCCTCCTTCACCGGCTACCCTGCACCACCACCTGCCACTTGTCCAACGATCACCTCCCAAAGTAGCAGCACCAGCCGCATTTCAAGCTTCACGGCCAGCCTCACTTGAGTCTGCCTACTTTCTTCAGCCCATTCTAGCCTTTGTCTCTTCTCTTCCTCCTTTCATCATGGGCAGAAAGCAACGCTTGGTCCGAAAAAAAGAAGCAGCGAGACAAGAGAAGATGAGTAGACCCTCGTCTTCTTCGCCTGGCGAGAAGCCCAAGAAGGGCTATGCGGATGTCCTCAAGACGTATTTGTGTTTACTCCCTTCCTCTCCTTCCTCTCCTTCCTCATCATTGCATCTGTCGCGATCGCGGGCGATTACTTCGCTCATGATTTCTGGCAACGATAGTGGTACTGACTTCTGAAGTAGCGAATTTCCGTCCCTCTCCAACAACGCCCAGATGAACACCACCGGTCAATCAAACATGTGGTCATCAACAGCATCGCGGAACCTGGGGGCTGGTCCAGTGCCGCGCAACCAGCAGTCGACGCCGCTGTCGGCTCAAAGCGGCCAGGATGAGCTCTTCACGCCAACCTCGGCTCGTCAAGGCGCCTTTCGCTTCGGTGGCCAGAGCAGCGCAGGTCCGGCACCTCAGGCGCAGTCCAATCCCGTGGACGACTTCCCGCCGTTGAACAGAAACTCGAACGGCGAAATCGGTGGTGAGCGAAGCGCTAGTCTCATGCCCTCTTTGGGTTTCGGTGGCAGCCAACCGAGTGGCTCAGCCCCTGCGATACCTCCTGCCCGAAGTGCAGGTGCCGGCAATGGTCTTCTCAATGCGCTCTCCGCGAACAGCAGAACCTCAGATGGTCGCTCACCTTCCATCGCTAGCGTGCAAGGTAAGTCGAACCCACCAGATCGGGCGATGACACACTCACTGATGCGATACAGATCAAGCAAGAATACAAGAGGCATCTGCTGAGAGAGGCGGCTCCTTCTCTGAAGAGACTGGTGGCGACAGCGCATCTCAGTCGGTAGAGACCAGAAACCCCCCTGGAGCCATTGGCAACGACGCAGTCGCTGGCAACGGCAAGGCCAAAGAGGAGAAGGAAGGCCAAGCACCCGACGTGCAGGACCCTCTGGCAGGAATGGCGCCCATCGACAAGTTCGGCATGAAGGGTCTACGTGTTCTCATGAACAACTACCCTAGCTACGGCGCCCTGATGCAGGGAATGGACCCCAACGAGTTCGGACTCAACGTCAACTCGCCAGAGTAAGCAGTCTGATTTTCACCAAGAAGCGCTAACTGACTGTGATAGTCTCATCTCCACGCAGATCTACTCTCTCTTCGACGACACGCCTCCGCGTCCTGCGATTCCCAGTGTCCGGCTTCCTGAGTGTTACAAAGTGACTAATGTGCAGCCTATTGACACCAAGATTCCGTCGTTCAACGAAGAGACCCTGTTCTGGATCTTCTACAGCTGTACACAGGATATCAAGCAGCAATTAGCTGCGGTCGAGCTGTAGGTATTCCTAACATCTAAGGTGATTATGGCTAACAACCTTGTAGGCATAGCCGAAACTGGCGCTGGCACAAGAAGCTGCACTTCTGGCTGACCAAGGACGAGCTTATGATGCCCGCTAGCCTTGGTCCCCACCATGAACGCGGCTACTACATCGTCTGGGACACCACCAACTGGCGCAAGGAGCGGGTACGTCTTGGATTCCTTTCTTCGAGGCATAGAGTGCAAGTGACTAACCTGCAATACAGAGAGAACTCACTCTCCACTACGGTGACCTGGAGACGAATCTGGTACAACCGGTTGCATAGTTGAATTGGGGGTTTATGGTTCATTGGTTTTCTCGTTTTACTGACGAGGCTGGAAACGACTTGGTACCTAGGCACTGGGCATGAGACCCGACAGGCGTTAAGTCATGTTGATACGGCATGGTTTTACAAGCTTCCGGTATGAAGCTGACCAGGCAAATGGCAGCCGCTGCATATCTGCCGCTGCTTTGTGTGTATGAATCACTGATCAATGGGAGTTACCCACGGCCGTCAAACGAAGGGAAATAAAATGACGACGCCGATGCTGCGAACGAAAACTTGATCCTGTTCCCGTGCTTCTAAATATACGTGACCTCATCTTTCTTGTGTGGGAAGCGCCCGGTATAGCAAGAAATTTCTCCTCTTGTGTTACGCCTTTAAGGATATCCAGAATCAAAAGGTAAGTACCTAAGTGAGCTTGAGTGGTTATTACGGCGGTCCGTGCTCGACTTCCTCACACGGAAAAGCGCGGGAAACTCCGACCTCGCGCCACATAAGCTACAAACCCCTGCTCCTTGAGGAGAGCTGATGAACTCATCAACTCCATAAATGCTGCCAGCGGGACTCCACGCATCTAATCCGACCACATCCCTATCACATGCGCAGCGGTGATACGCTCCTCCGACTCTCTTCTTTAATGTTGCAATCTCCATGAGGCGTGCACCACTTCGAGCTCCCAATCGCCACCTCCGGTAGCGAAAACCCGTAAACACTTAGGCCTTACGTGAAACGACAACTTTCACCGGCCAGTCCGGCACGACACAGACACCGAACCCGCAACTATGGCGAACGAGCAGATCTCACTGCCGTATCTGGTGATGATACTACTGGTGACGGCATTTGTTATACGGTTCCTCTTCTTCTCGCCGGCCCCGGCGCCGGCGCCGCGACAGAGCGCTGCGGCGGTGCTGCGCACCCGTGAGGCCGCGGTCGAGAGGATACAGCAGATGTTCCCGCAAGTGGACAGGCGGACGATTCTGTGGGATCTGCAGAGGAATGGTGGGAATATTCAGGCGACGTCTGAGAGGATTCTTGCAGGACGGATGGAAGCTGTAAGTTTGGAACCTCTACTCCATCTCGGACGAATGCTCGGCGTGCCGAATACGCCGCGCCGGCGACAACGTCATGGCTGGAGCTACTATGCGCCATGATGCCCAGGAATTACTTCTCCTAATGTGTGCAGTCCCCTTGCTAACCTGGTATTTGAACGTCTACAGCCCCCTATCACCTTCCAACCCCCTCCCCCGCCAGGAGCGAACAACGCCGCGTCCAGCTCCTCGACACCGGCCAAGTCGCCCGAGAAGCCCACGCAGCCGGACTTGATTACGAGGTACAAGCTTCAAGACAAGATTTCGGCGCAGCAGCGGCAAGCGGAAGCGGACGCCGCCGCTGAGAAGGAGAAGGAGAAGGCGGCCAAGGGGTGGAGCTCGAACAGGGACGAGAGGCAGTCGCTGTTACAGAAGCGGAGGGACGAGATGATTCTCGCGGCGCGGCGGAAGATGGAGGCCAAGATTGCTGCGGAGAAGGCGGCATAGCCTTGGCGCTTGAATTGAGACTGGTGGGATGGCTCTTCACAGCGTATGTTAATTTGCTTGTTGAGGGCATGGGACAGGATCGGTGGGGGTTTACGTGCATTTGGGAATCTGTACACTCACGCACACACACATACAGAAACAGAGGGAGTCTACGGCTTCAGTGTCAAGTCTGGGTATGGTGGATGGGGATATAACGGCACATATCCAATTTCATATGCCTCCAACGGAGTGGGGAGCCTACCTTTACCTTGCGCTATCCGTACACACGTCCCTGTCCACTTCGGAAGCGTGGGCTCAGCGGCAGCGCGGCTGATGGCGCGATGTGGACCTCCACCGGCTTGACTATGCGTTGAGCAAAACCTAGGACCTTGATGACTGGGGCTTGATAAGCACGTGCTACGGTTTAAACGGTTTGAACTTGGTTGAGATAAGAAGGGGCCGCCGCCGCTACGCCCGGTATTTTTCGAGTAAGCGGGAAACCCTTGCGCCGTCCGCTCAAGTGCCATCATCGGGAGGTTTTTTCCTTTTTTTAGTTCATCGGTTTTGGAATGACACGAGCTTGACGTCTCCTGTGGCTTGACTCGCCCTCGTTTTGTTTCATTTGGCGCTTGCTCGCACGTACAGCTAGGAACCTTCTCCAGTGATTTCTCTGCAAGGTAGGAGTCATGAAACGGAGTGGGAGATGTGTAAATCGAGGTTGTTTAGAGACCATGGGGTGGGAAGGCATCATAGGATACTCTTGTCATTGTCAAATCCCAATGTCCCCGGTGTCTGGCCTTGAAATCATGTTTCCAGCCACAGCACATGTGCCTGAGGCTCTCTCTCTCTCTGTCTCGGCTGAGCCGCATGATACATTTTGATATGACTGGCAGGACCTCTGGATGGCTCTTGTCTCGCCGTGGGGGGCAACGGCGATGAGGTGGGATCTTGTCTTACGTGATGTGGCTCCTGATATAATTGATGGCACATGCACATGCAAATCACCATTCAGACTTTCCGTGTGTACCTATGTGTGTGTGTTTGTCTTATCTCGACGTCGAATTTGTTTTGCATCCGCCTTGCCTGTCGGTTGCAAGTTCCCGAGTTCGGAGGAGCACGGGACGGATTGGATATGACTCGGGGAAACACACGCGAGTTTCTTGAGTTCCTCGGGCCTTGACGACCTGAGAGACACGTGGGGGTCCTATCCCGCAGAGATTCGTGGATGCAAGGCCACAAGGCTCAGAAAGCATCAACCGAATTTTTGGGGTGGCTCAAAGACAAAAAAAAAAAAAAAAAAAAGAGAGATACTGAGACATGGGCGCAACATTGTACAGGCGCCATGGTCAAGGAGAACATGGGCCTAGGCCACGGGTATATCTTCGTCTTTCCCCGATACGGCGAGTTTGTAATACAGCATGGGTCCGTCCAACCAGTGCAACAACGATTGTCAGATCGTATGAATGTCAGATCTCATCATCTCCCCGGGTTACCCAAAACAGGAATGACATTGTTGTTGTCATCTTTAATTCTCCGACTAGCATCGTTCGACTGATAATAAGGTGCTTGAAATCTAATCTGGGATGACGAGGCCCCCTTCTTCATACCTACCAAATGCTGAGGTGGAAAATAATCCGAGGCCGCTAGTGGCAAAGAGAAGCAAGTGCCTCGTTACTGAGGTGTGAGTTGGTTCGTCTTGTGGTTGGAGGGTTCCTTTTCTGACTTGGGAGGAATCTTGCCTGGACTGCGGAATGGTGAGTGAGAGAGGGTGAGGTGTTGTAGGGCGTGGAGGGGTACAAGGAGGGGTTCAATCCCGGTACGGGATGCTACAGCCCTGGTGTCCGTACCAAGATTCGGCGGCGTGTTCTGGCGGCTGGATCTCACTTGCTGTACGAATCTAGTGTCTTTCGATTTTGATTTTATTTCACCCCCCTTCCAAGTATCTTTTTCCTCGTTTCCGTTTTAGCGCCACCGGTTCTTTGGTTGGAGAATGTAGATGTTGTGCCACTGTTTGTCGCTCTCAAGTTGCTGCCGATCCCATGCGACGCTCGTTCAACGGTTGAATCAAGTTGCCCTCCCCCCTACAATGGGGGGAAGGAGGAAAGACCCGCAGGAAGATGCAGCATGACACAGCCGGGCTTTGCGGTATAGTGACTTGCAGAATAGTGACGAAAGACTACAATCCTTCAACTGCACGCGCTGCTCTGCTGCGATATCTACCAACTGCGTGTGTGAGTGTGTGTGTGTGTGTGAGAGAGAGAGAGAGGCCATGAGTGCCAGGAGCCTCTGGACACTGGACCCTTGTAACGCTTAGCGTCCCAGTTGCGTGCATGCCAGCGGGGACCCTCCAAAGAGAGAGAGAGAGAGAGACTCGGAGAGTAGGGCGTATCCGTACTTCGTACCGCGTGAGGGCTACCCTCTTCATGCATTCGTTGCATTGGCGCCATGGGCCATGTGTTTTGTGGGTGGCTATGGGCATGGGGCATGGATGGATTAGATAGATAGAGAGCCCCGCTTCGACCCAACATTTCTGTCTTTCACATGCTTTTCGACTGACTGCAGTCAGTCCCTCTCCGTGGGCCTGTCTTCACCGCGCAGGTCATCTCCACTGCCAGAGGGGAGAAAATGAAGAAGAAAACAGGGCGAGCAAGTCTGCGATGATTCTAGCATGGGGCAGAGGCGAGAGAGAAAGACGGGAGAAAAAAAGCTTGTGGGCATACCTACCCAGCCAACTTAGATGGGAGGCGGCCCCTTTGTGTACGTTTCGACCAATATGTTGCGCAATTCTGCTACGCAATACGCTGGGACGCGCATAGTAGGACGTAACAAAGACAAAAGGATTTCGAGGTACCTTTTTTTTCAGCGGCAAAGTTATCTGCACCGTTCTCTGACTCCCGTCCCCATTTGGCAGCCAAAGTTCCGTGCTTGCAGAGACTTGAGAGGAACGGATACCGGATACCTAATAGGCATTGGATCTCACAAAACATGAGGTAAACTTTCCTTCACCTGACGGGACGTTCTTTTCCACTTCGTATCAGACTACCTGCGAGCCAGCCACCGCCGATTCGATCCATCCGCCCATCAGATTCCCGCCCCAGCCCGCTCTCAGCGGGAACGACTGCCAAAAAGAACAAGACGCAAACCGGGGCAGAAACGGCTTGGCCTTGTCCACGGGTTCCTTTTTCCACTGTCATTCACCACTACCAACCGATACACTCCGTCTCCCCCTCCACTTCCAGGTTCTTTCGCTTCTTAGTTCAGACTCCAAAGTACCTACTACTACGGATACCCTGCTCTACTACTGACTGGCCTTACTTTACCTTGCCTCTTCTCTTAAGCCTTTTGCCCCCCCTTCCCCTTCGCTTTCTTTGTCTCACCTTTGGATTTTTCAACTCGCTCAAAGAAGCTTCATACCTACTACCTTGGGACTCGACCTGGATCTGCACCTGGACCTGCCAACCATTGCTTTTTCTGCCAATTCATCGTCGTTGTCGTCCTCGACCTCTGCTTAGCATCCTACATATCTTAGACTCCAGAATTCCAACTACTCCCACTTGGATACAACCGTTGCCGCAAGCGTATCTAAACGTGGGATTTACAACAGCGGGACAATTTCTTATCAACACTTTTTCTCCTACACACATTCCCTCAGTCGCAAAGTAGCGGGCGCTTGGGCTAGATCTCGACGTTCTTGGTCCGTAACATTCCTTCTCTGGCGACAACGCTCTCGCGATCACAAGCCTGGAGACTTACCAGAATAGCAGACCGAGAACAGACCGCCACGCCATCTCACCGAATTCCCCGACAACCAAAGATTGTCAACACAGGCGGACGGACGGACGGTAGCGCCCACGCCCCCCCTCGCCTTCCTCCCGCCTAAGAGGAAATAATAAAACAACAATGCCCCCCTTGCGACCCTGGGGTCCCATTTTCGAAGAGATTACTCTCCCGCAGAATAGAATGTCATCAACGGTCTTCTCGATGCTGCCAACCTCTCTTCAGTCTCGGCTACCGCCGCTGCGGTCTATCCGCAAGAGCGCAAGCATGCAAACCCTCACCTCGAGCAGGCAATCACACACCCGCACTCTGTCGGGACTCGACGACGGCGTGCACCGAAATATCACGCAGGCGCGCCTCGTCTCCGAGAGCACGGAAGAGCAGCACATGAGCTTGGTGGCTACCGAACACCACCAGTCATCGCGGACGTATGAGGTGCGCTCAGCCGCAGAGAAGCATGAGCAGCAGCGGCAACAAGCGGAACAGTACTATCAGCAACAGCAAGCGTCTAGCCAATGTTCAAATGTAGATTGGCGCTTCGCCCAGCAAGGTAGGAACCGTTCTGATGATGGGGGTAACTAGAACTGACCTTTTGCTCTTTAGGACTTGCTTTGATTGCCGTTGCCCAAGATGAGTTGAGACATCCGTCAAGGCGGCCGGCAGTCGATTTTGAGAGGAAAGCATTTCTTGACGGCGTCGAGTACATCCTCAAGGCCCTTCCCAGCGACCTAAACGAACACGAGCTTCACCGACTCCGCACGTCAACACCCTCCAACTTCATCCCTCCACCGAGTCCGGGCGGTCGGGCGTATTCTCCGTCGCGGGGTGCGAACAACGGCAGATCGATTCTTCACCGGGGCGTTCAAATCGCAGTCGTCAACATCTTCATCCTCATCCACCTGGCGCTGCCGTACATCATCCTCATGCTGCGGTTAGCGGCCCGCACGGAGCGCGAGTACCGGATATCGGAGAACCTCGTTGGTGCGGGCATGGGTCTCGCCAACGCGATCGGCAGCAAGGGAATGCGCATTACCGGGGCGTTGTACAACGTCGGCGACGGCAGGCTTGGACAGGCTCTCACGGAGGCCGTTGCCTGGACAGTTGAGGGCCTCACAGGAGGTCTCTCCGATGGCGTCGGCGAGGGCTTGTCCATCGTGGCGCCCAAGCGACAATAAGATGAACGATCATGAGGACATTTTTAACGCAATATGGTATAGGGACTTTCAACATATTTTTTC